TAGGGACCCGCGGGAACCCTGGTATTATTGCACCATCTTTTTTTTCTTTATTCTAATCTATTTATTGTGTTTGTATATTGTTAAATTACCAACTAAATGGCAACATTTCCTTTGAAACATGGTGCTTAAACATTAAAAAAAGGTTATTGAAAAAAAGACATGGCAATTTTATAACACTTTATTGAACGCAGATCAAAGGGCAGTAATGGCACAGATATGCCTCATTTCTTCGACTGAACTTAACAAAATTCTGATTTTACAAATTGCCTCATTTAAATTGTCTGGCTCCCCGTTTTCATTTGGCTGAAAACCGAAATGCTCCCAAAGGGGCGAAGTAACATTTGGTTTTGATACCAGTGCAGCTGCCATTGTATCCTTCTCAACTGTTCTCCCAAGATGCGGTGATGGCGGTGGCTGGTTTTTGTGGCGCGGGGATCTTCTTGATATCGCGATATTTCATTCGTGCGATTATCGTGACAGCCCTACCGTCTCCTCAATCATAAATCAAGGCATGTGCAGGAAATGCAACTGATCTAATTATCATTTATTTATTAAATAAATCACATTACATATTACTTTTAAACACTAAACATTTTTGCGCAAAGGTAATGGAGCCTTTTTTTACATCTTTGAACACGACGGCGTGGCGTTTTTTTAGGCGATGGAGGTTGGATGTGTTACTTTGGGTAGTCTTGGGTAGTTTTCAGGCTAACTCTGCATTTGGTGTTCTTTCGCTCAACATCTGTGGCGTTATTTTGGTGCCACCGAACTGAGCGTTCAGTGAGAACAATGTGCATCGTTTAAACTCACACACTTTCGCTTAATACCGGTCTGCCGCACGCTCAACTCTTAACATGCTCTCACCTTCTTCTCTGTGCTCTCAGCTCCACAGGATTAACTGATGTAATTTCGTTTACAGCTGTGTTAGACGCTTCTTCTCTGGGCTCATCTGCTATTCTCTTCGTTTACGCTTCTGACTGAAGCGGTGTAGAAACGTTATTACACACCTGCTGCAGTGTCTTAAAGAGAATAAGGAATACCAGCCACCAGCGCACACATGCAAAGCAGCAAAATTAAGTTTATTTATTTTACCGGCATGCGGCAATTTGCACCGGTTATCGTGGTGAATGACGGTAAAAATTCGGTTTATCGCCCAGCCCTACTTCAGTAGAAAATGAAATATAATCAAAATCAGTCAAATTAAAGGATCAATGACAGGCAGACTGGGATATAAATACCTGAACAACCTCGGTGGTGACTTCCTGTTTGCTGAACCTGTAGATGATGACATGAGCAGAGACTCCAGCCACGCAGAGCATCCTGCTCTCTGGACACCAGAACAAGGTCTGAATGGCAAACGGGTCTTCTTCCACAATGTCCGTGCTGGGCTTCTCCTCTTTACCTCTGGCCCTCTCAAACACCTTGGCCGTCTTCAGCTTGTACAACACTTGAAGCATTACTTTGAAAGCAGAGAAAGGAAACCCAGAGTTAACCGTCTGCATTTTTAATGGGTGAAAATTGGGTGAATAGTTGGTTTTATGGTTAGTAGGGATTTTAGTAGGGGTGTAAATCACATCCATCATGGCGATTCAATACAGTATCGATTTCCTGACCCAACGATTTAATTATTTTCGATACTCAAGAATACACCACGATACGATTCGATTAATTGGTTAATTTTTTTATTTTTTTTTTTACACCTTACAGGCTAGACAATGTTTCAAATTTGAAATAAATCAATGAAAGCTGTAATATAGTTATGCTTTTTTTTTTTTTTAGAAACAACAGCAAACAACAGAAGTAGAGAAGTTGTACTCCACCTATTCCTATTAAAACCTCATTCACTGAATAATAATAATCCCCCTGCGCTATAGATTCTGAAAGGCCTTGCATCAAAAAGTACTGCACAGAATCAGTGCAATGAGTGCAAT